GAGCATGTTGACGGAGCCCTGGCTCTTGGCGCCGCTGCCGGTGCGCTGTCCGCCGATGGAGTCGATCTCGTCAAAGAAGATGATGCTCGGGCTGGCCGCCCGCGCGCGTTCAAAGAGCTGTCGCACGGCACGCTCCGACTCGCCCACGTACATGTTGAGGAGCTCGGCGCCCTTGACGGCAAAAAAGTTGAAACCGGACTCGGTGGCCATGGCTTGCGCTGACAGCGTCTTTGAGCAGCCGGGCGGGCCGTAGAGGAGCAGGCCCTTGGGCGGGGTCAGGATCAGTTTTTGGACAGACGGATTGCTTGTGGTCGTGAGTTTAATCATTCTTTGCAGGGCCACCTTGAGGCTCTCCTGGCCTCCCACGTCCTGCCAGTGGATCGTCGGCGGCTTAAGGTTCACGTCGTGCATGGCTGTCGGCTTGGAGCTGCGCAGTGCCTGCTCCATGTCCTCCCTCGTGAGCTGCTGCTCCTGCATCGTCTCCTCGTCGAAGCCGTTGCCGTCGGGGTCGAGTCGCTGTCTCGATGCGATCTTTGCGTTGTCAATGAGCCCAACGAGATCATCGGCATTGTAGGCGTGCGTCTGCTGTGAGAGTCTGCTGAGCATCAAGTCCTTGATCGCCGGCTGAACGGGAATGTCGAGTGCTTCGAGAATCTCCAGCCGGCCCTCGGCGTTGGGGATTGAAAGAGGGATGCTCAGCCCGAACCTTGTGCGCTTCTGCAGCTCAGGGGGCACGTCCGTCATGTAGTCCAGGCAAGTGGCCACGACGACGACCTTGGGTAGGGCGCGGCTCTGCAGGGCTTCTTCGGCCAGCTGGTCGAGCTGCTGGCCCAACCTGTGAATGATGGCGCTCGAGTTGGCCCTGTCCTTGCCGATCAACGACTGAAGGCCGTCAATGAGTATGATGCTGGGCTGCTGGGACCGCGCCTGCTTAAACACCTCTTCCACGGCTGAGGACTTGTCATTCTCCTCAATTTTGAACACCCTGCCCCACCCGGTGGCCGCGATGCGGTTGAGAATGTACGACTTGCCAGTGCCTCGCCCGCCGTGGATAACGATGCCGCAAGACTTGTGTTGGCCATGATAGAAGAACTTGCCGTTGAAGCCGTGCAGGAACCCTCTCAGCTTCTTTTCTTCCGCGTGGAGGCCGGGGATTCCCCTGACGTCGAGCTTTGTGACTTCCTTGACCTCTTCGACTGGCGCCTCCTCTTCACTGTAGATGATACTAGGCGCTGTCGATGTGACGAATTTGGCAACGTTGTCCGTCTGGCCGTCGACGGATACCACCTTGAAAACCTGCTTGGCTCCCGGCGCCACGCACTCGAACTTCATGCCGGGGAACACTTGCTCAGCACGTACTGGATGGTCAGCATCGCTTCTTTAGTGCGGCGAAGGGGAGGGGGGCGTACTCAAGTAGAACCTGATCACTCCAATCCACGCCCCCTCCAACGTCTTGATATCGTTCACTTCCCTGTCCGTTGTTGTTACGGGCAGAATAACTACAGACTCCGCGTCAGGGACGGCGGTCTTCTCATGCATCGTGATCGTCAGCTGATCGCCGAGCTCGAACCCGCAGGCCTCGCGGTAGGCCTCGCTCATGAGGATGATGTTGGGACTGATGTTCTTGTCCGACAGGGTCCAGAGGGCGGCCTGGCGTACAGTCGTCGTCTTATCCTCGCCCACTCTAGTGACTATACATCTTCGCCCGTTGTCGACGCTTCCCGTCAGTTGGATGAGTGAGTCCCGGTTGACGTATATGCGCGATGCGCCCTTCAGCGTTGTCTTTTCGAGCGTCTTGTCGAAAGGGGCGAGAGGGCGCACCTTGCCCTCGATCGATTTGGGGGCCATCTTTCTGGTCGTCGCCCGTTGTTCTGTAGAGTGTTAGAACGGAGCGTTCATGAGTGAAGTGAGTGAGAATGGGCAAGTGGGGCTGGTCGGGCAGATGCAACTGAGATTCTCTAGGCTTTTACATACGTTGAGCCCTCCGTGATATTGCTATTTATACTCACTAGCACTGTCGTTATCGTCGTCGTCGTCGTCGTCCGTCACTATCGTCCGTCGTCGCTCTACCGGGCTCTATTCTGTTTAGCCCTTGTCTGTCGTCCTCAATCGAATTAACTCGGTGCACATCTTATAGTCGCGCAGACACAGTAAAGTTAGGCAATTCCAAAGGTGTGCCGGCAGGCGGTAACCTGCCAAATGAAAACATGAATGAAATTCAAAAGGAGGAAACAAGAGTCAGACTGTGGCACTCTGTGATTAAACCTCGGCCTCACCGAGTCACATCTAACTTGTAGAGTGAAGCATCTCTAGCAAAGCAGACGACCCCGGTAGAGAGATGATCAAAACGGAGGCGTACCGAAGACGCAATTCACGCAGCAAGACCATGGAGGGCTGAAGTGTCTCTGAAAGGGTTCTATCTTACGTACAAATGAAAACCTGGGTATCTCTGCGCCTTCCGATCAGAAGGGTAAACCTCTCGACTTGGCCAAATAGTGTGGTCGTCAAAATGACTCCAATGACCTGCGCCGTGTAAGTGCCACCAGAAAAATTCGACCACACACCTCCTAACAATTTTCTCGCTGCCCCACCACAGCTCACAAAAAAAAGGTACATGCGAAAAAGTACCTGTCCCGCAGCGTGCGGTAGGTAGGTAGCATCGCGAAAAAGAGCCAAAAGCTTCAGCGTCATTTCGACCACCTTCAACCGCTGTCACCTCAGCCACGAGCACCCATTGATCGCCTCCCCCGCCACCCTATCAAAATCTGCACCGGCGGCGGCTCCCCATCAGATACCCCATGCAATGGGCTGACCTACGAGGGCTGCGCGGCTCGACCCTCAGAGTTGCACGGATGAACACGATCGCTACCCGACGACAGCTGCCGCTGCTGCTCCTCCGCACGCCGCCGCCGCCGCCGCAATGGCATAGGCAGCCGGCTCGTTTTCAATGGGTCAGCGCCCGCCCTCTCGAATTCGAGGGACGCGGAAAGGAACGTAAGGACAGCAAGAAGAAGCAAGGGCAGTCCTCGATTTTCCAAGAGATGTTCCCTGAAGAGGGCGACAACAACGCTCCATACCGACAGCGCGAGGAGGAGGACGAAACCAAAGTCCGCATCGTCACGTCTACGCATGTCGACAAGTCCGAAGTGACCGAGTGGAGGGCGGCGATGGCTGCCAGGGAGGAGAGGAGAAGGAAATACCTGGAGGCCAGGAGCGCGGTACTGTCCTCGATACCGGACCTGCTCGTACCGAAGGAGAAGGGAAAGAAGCTCAAGAGGAATAAAAAGGGCAAGACAAAATCAAAGAGCAAGACGGAGGACAAGCCGGAGAGCAAACCGGAGGACACGCCGCAGAACACGCAATGGGGCCTTGGAAGTTCGGTGATACCCTCACGCAAATCAGCATCAAAGACGGAGGAGGAGCAGGCCGAGGCACCCAAGCCAGCACGCAAGTCCCCGTCCCTATACAAGGAGCTCTTCAAGGACGACGCCCCTCCCAAGCCGACCGACCCGGCCGAGGATAGACACGTGAACCACGGCGACCTCCAGGCCTGGATCGACTCCCTCCCGAGAGGCGACAGCGGACCGGCAGACAAGGAGCAGTCCTCGCTGCTCATCCTCTCCAACGCAAGCACGAACCTCTGCGAGAGCGACTTCTACCGCGTCGGGCCGCAGGGCCAGCACCTCGACGGCTGGGGCGTCTCCATCAGCAAGGTCATGCAGGCCTACGACCACAACACCCTCCAGCCGCTGGGCCGCTACTTCATCCTCTTCGCCTCCCACCACGCCGCGGCGTTGTACCAGAGCGAGGCCCAGCGCCGGCACAACGCCGCTCGTCTCCGTCTGCAGTCCGCCGCGGCGCCCCTCGCTGCCGCTCCTGAGCCGGGCGACCCCGACATCTTCACCCTCGCGGCCCCGTCCAACGCGCCGCTGAGCCTGCACCTCTACAAGCTCAACAAGGCGGCCGAGAAGCGCCTGGAGTCGTTCAGCGTGCAGGGCCTGCTGAGTATGACCCCCGACCCGCCCCCGCGCGCCTGTTCCCCCGTCGTTCTGTCCCTCGAGGGCGGCACGCTCGACCAGCGCTCGCTGTCGCAGTGGATTAGGCGGGACGCGCGGGATAGGGGCCTGGGCTGGCCGGTTCAGCACATACGTCCGTACTTCCCGCCCAGGATACACCAAAGGGGGCCGCTGGAGGAGCCGACCGAGGACGACTACCACTGGGACGAGGACTCGGCACCCAAGATTGTCGACCCCGAGGCGGCGGCCCGGAAGATCATGGACGAGACGACCAGGTCGGCGCTGTTCGTCCTGTCGTTCCCGGACGCCCACGAGGCACGGCGGTTCGTCCGGGCGTGGCACCACAAGGAGCTCGTCCGGTCGCGGGGCGAGAGCGTCACGGTAAGAACTCACTTTGTGTGGTAGAATCTGTACAAACCATGTATCATATATGTAATGCCTGAGACGCACGTCACACACATCACCCCATTCGGTCAGCAGGCGTAGGTAAAGGATGTATTAGAAAAAAAAGACCCAAAATAGAAATTCCCGAAACTCCAGACCAGATATTTGCTCTCTAGGGTGGCGATGAAAGGCGTTGTCGGCAACGATAAACCACATGACAGAAACCACGCAGCACTCTCTTTCCGCGGCTGAGAAAACAAGGTACGTAGGTAGGGTAAGTGTGTCAGTCCGCCTTTCGACCTCGAGCTCGCCCGCTGGCCAAATCCGTCGACGGCGCAAGGCCTCTCGTCTTCCTGCTCCCGAACAATCCATGGACCCGCTGCTCTCTCGATCGGCCTCCCTTAGCCTCCTCTCTCCAGTATCCGGGTCCCTACTAGGCTATTGTACCAATCAATGCCATGTTCTTCTTCTCATCGTCCGCAGCCCTCCGGCAACGTCCTCTCCCTCTCTCTCTAAGCTGTGATTGCAGTGGCGGCAGCGCAGAATCGACCAAAACATCAACATCTTGCTCCAGACAAACAGCACGACTCAAGCGCCCATCTAACAGCACTTTCCGCCGGCGCCGCCCTGCTCGCCGACATTGACGCCCGAGGCGGTCGGCTGCTCGTTCTTCTGGTTATCAATTAGACGCTTCTTGATGTCGGCGGCGAGCGAGTAGAAGGCCTTGTCGATGTTGATGTTGCTCTTGGCCGAGACCTCAAGGAAGGGGATGCCGAGCTCGTCGGCGAGCTGTTGGCCCTTCTCGGTCGAGACAACACGCTTCTCCTCCCAGTCGCACTTGTTGCCGATGAGGATCTTATTGACGCCCTCGGTGGCGTGCTGCTCGACGTTTGCGAACCAGGTGCGGATGTCTGTTAAGGGGTCCTGTCAGCCTTCACATGCCTGGGGTGTGTCCACCGGCTCATGTGGAGAGCGTGGGTGCGGTGTAATTCGCCGGGCCGAGTTGCGGTGTAGGAGCACCGTCGGCAAGGGAGAGAGAGAGAACATACTGTTAAAAGACCGCTCGTCCGTGACGTCGTAGACGAGGAGGATGCCCATGGCGCCGCGGTAGTAGGCGGTGGTGATGGTGCGGAAGCGCTCCTGGCCGGCGGTATCCCAGATCTGGAGCTTGACGCGCTTGCCGTCCAACTCGATGGTGCGGATCTTGAAGTCGATGCCGATGGTCGTGATGAAGGACGGCGTGAAGGAGTCTTCGCTGAAGCGCAGCAGACAGCAGGACTTGCCTACGCCCGAGTCGCCGATCAGCAGCAGCTTGATCTGGGGTGCTGGTCAGCCATATGTGCAATGTCATAGTTGTCCTCTACGCCGGCGGCGACGGTCGCAGGGGCAGGCAGTTCTGGAAATGGCCCGGATGACGGTGATATGTGAGGACGAGGGGCATCGAGGGAAGGGCGGCGAGAGGTGAGGCGGGGCACGGCATTCGACACGTACAAGAAAGTCGTAGTTGCGGTTGCTCGACATTTTGGCGGCGGGTGGTCAGGGACTGAACCGAGGGGGCCGATGTGAAGGGGGAAACGGACTGCTTCTCCGACGGCGTGGGCGGCGGAACGGATCGTGGTCGAGGGCGTGTGCGGTGAGGTTGTCGCGATGTGTCGTCGGATCGGGGAAACGGGGGGAGTCGATTGGGATGAGGTAGGAAACTGGCGGCGGTAGTCTGTCGTGTCGTAGTAGTGTATGTAGGTACGCAGCACGCAGCACTGGGTCGCAGACGAGGCGAGGCACACTGTACAGTCCGCTCTACTGTGAGGACGGTACGTAGCGCCCTTGGGGGAAGAGTGGCGCCTATCGTCTGGGGTAAGACGCTGGGCCCGGCCTCTTACTTGACCGATCCGACGGGCGAGGGATGGGAAAGTGCTGGAACAGTGGAGGGCCTGAGGGGCGGGCAGCTAAGCTATCACAGCGACTCGGACTCGACTGGCACTGTAAGGTCACTGGCCAGCGGGTGGCATCTGCTACGCAGGTACTCCCTGGAGTTACCAAAGGTAGGTGGTTCAACGAGCGTCGGATCAGCGTCGGAGGGCATCAAAAGGCTAAAAGAAGCAAATCCTACTGGGCAATCAAAGCACCTCGCTGCAGATATGCAATGGGAATTGGCCAAGGGCCGGAGGAAAAAGCACAGCATCCGTCATGCAAGATACAGGGCCATTCATTCACCATCCCCCAATATCCGCAAGGCGCCTGCATGATTGACAGCCTCCACGGCACAACGGGAGCTGCCTTGCGCCTCGCCGTCTTCGACACACCTGCCACCGCCAACCACCACCACGAGGCCACTTCCCTGTTGATGCGTTGTTCGCCCCGTCACCTCACCGTTGAGCATCGGTCTCCCGCCACCGCGAGGTTTGCCAGGAGGTGCAAAGCCACGCCAACGTCATCGCACTGTCTCGCCTCTCAGGGTCCAGGCCTAGAACGGGTCACGGGTCCTGGCATGGCCAGTATCACAGTCACAAGGGCGCCTCGTCATATCGTCATATGTCCATGGCAGGATTTGACATGTACTTGCTCAATTGCGCAGAGACAACTTTTTAGTTAACCGCCTCCCAAAGACAATGCCGCCTGCTTAGCTCCGTTACCAAGTTGCGATGCTCCCTAGACAATTCATGATGCCTCCAGCGAGCGTCCACGTATGGTACAATCGTCTGAATGGCTGTGCTGTGGTGACCTGTATGCTGAAACCCGTGAGACCGTGTACCCGTGCGAATCATTAAAGGCTCCGAGGCCGTCGTAATCTTCTACTGCAGCCACCGGGCATACGCCCAGCGGATCCGGTCCAATGCTCTGACCTGCACCTGGATGCCCTTGAGGTTCGCGAGGTCGTCCAGATCTTCGAGGAACTCGTGCTGCCTGTCGCGGGGCAGCACTCTCTCCATCAGGTTGCGCAGCACGTGCACTTCGCAGAGCAGGAGGCCGTGATCCTTGTAAGACAGCAGGTTGTTCTGCGACGGCGTCGCCTCGGAGAAGATGCGGTCAATGTTGCGCAGCACCCGGATGCTCTGGCCGGCCTCGCGGCTGTACCGTGCGCCCTTGCGAGCGCCGAAGACGCCGCGGAGGTACTGCACAATGCCGATGGAGACGAGCACGCCGGGGGTCAGTCCCACGAAGCCGAACACGAGTTCCTGGCTCTTCAGCAGAGCGTCGATTCCGCTAATGGCCACCTCCAGGTCGACCTTGGTCTTCTGCACCTGGATCAGGAGCGACCGAACGAGGTCGCCCTTGACCGCGCCGACAAAAGGGCTCCTGAGGTCCTTCTCGTACGCGCGCAGAACCGGCGTGACGTCTCCCTCGCTGACCTTGGTCCTGATGTCGGCGATCTGGGCGTCCGTGAGAGCGGTCGATCCTTCGCCCGCGAAATGGGGCTTGTCCAGAGCAAAGTCCACAACCATGCGTTCCAGGCTCTCGCGGTCGGCCTTCAGGCTGTCGCGGCTCATGATGGCAATCTCGCTGTTGGAGTCGTGCCTGATGGTTCCGACAATCTTGCGCACCGGCTCGATGACCCAGTTGAACCAAAAGTCCTTTACCGTGATGCCAATGTCCCGGATCCAATCGAATATCTCGGCGCGCCTGTTGACCAGAACCCGGAGCACAGTCGTCGAAGAAAGCAGAGCAATTCCCGTGGGGAGCCAGTAGCGGATGAGTCGTGAGGGGCGGCCGTTGCCGCGGACGAGCTCTTGCGTGGCAACGACATGGTTGGGAAGGCCGGAGTCGAGAATGTTCAGGAGACGTCTCGCGAGCACAGAGGGCTTCTCTACGGCGTTGGCGTCCTCAATATGGATGGACAGCTCCGGGTCTTCCTCCACGCCGGCAAACACCTTGTCTTCAAACTCGGCGACGCCCGACTCGAGGCTCAAGACGTCTTTGAGGACCATGTCCATGAGAGCAACGCTCCTCTCCACCACGCCCTTCCAGTCATGGCTACTGACCCCCGCCTCGCTCTTGTCGTCGTCGTCATCCACGCCAAACGTAAGGCCTTCGTCAACCAAGACACCCAGACCGCTCGCCGTCATCTCGCGCAGCCGCTTGAGGTGAGCCAGCTTCCGCCTGGCCTCGCCTCGACTGAGAGCAACGGGCGACAGGACCCGTCGCTGCAGGGTCGTGATGGAGGATTCCCGGATGCTCTCTCGCACAATGCCGTAAAACTGACTCCATTGCTGGGCCAGGCCTGTCCGCGTAGACTCCACGAACTCGCCGGGCGAGTGGCTGAGGTGCTGGAAGCGATGTTTGCTGTCCTGGTAAACGTCCTTTGTCAAGGCCCACAGACGCAGCGGCGACGTCTGGATGGTGTAGAGACTGCTGTAGGTGTAGGAGCTGAGCACCTCGTCCCAGTACCAGATGTCGTCGCTGAGAGGAATGATCTGGTCCAGGAGTGTGTTGAGGATGACTCCGTAAGTTTGCACGGTGGCCTTGCTGATGAGCAGCCACTCGATTTCTGACTGATAGTGATTCCGTCCCTCACCCTCGCTGTACTCGGCCAGAAAGTCCCATTCAGCCAGTTTTGACTGGGTCAGCAGGGCGCGGATCTTGTGTGACTGCAGCAGGGAGCGTGAAGATGAGGTGGTGGACAGGGCCCTCACGATGCGCAGCAGCTCATCGACCCTCGGCGACGACAGGGCGTCGGCGGAGGTGGAGTTGAAGATGCCATGCTCCGAGGCAGCAAGCTCGCCGTTTTCTTGAGAGATACTCAGACCCAGAGGGATCCGATCCAGCTGTGCGTCCAAGCGACGGACCTGGCTGTGTTCATGCTGTTAACCACCTGTTTTTGTGTTTGTTTTTCTTGGCGGGCGATGCCGGGTGAGGTGCGGGCAGGAGGGGAAAAGACGGGACAGGCTACTTACTCGGCCACAACAGACATTATTGCTTCTCACTCAGAGAGCGCTCCTCCGCCACGTTCATGGGTCGGTGGTTGACCTGGTCTGGGCTGTGAATATTGCAGTTTCGTGCGTGTGTTGGATACTCATTCAAGCGAACAGCAGAGAATTGGGTAGACGTCATGCCATAGGTAAGCAAGCGACGACGGGACTGCCCTGGACAACACTTTTGCGAGGGTCGGGCCTGGGCCCCGCGCGCGTTGCTGGCGGAAGTGGAATGACGGTGTGGATGCCTGAGCTGGCGCTGTGCCTTACCTTAGTCAGCCGGATGAGCTGGCGCCACTGACGGTGCTTCGCGGCAGACCGCTACAGTGCCCGCTGAGGAAGTCGAGTTCCATCCAATTGGAGGGGTAGACGAGCGGGTGCATTTGCCCTCGTTCTGTCGCGACGAGACTGATAGAGATGAAGTTCAAAAATAGGCCAGAGTGATGATGACACGAGGTCTAGTCTTTCGTCGACAAGCTTCCGGGTGTCGGTTCATTCGATGCTTGGCTGAACCTTGCGGGGCGCGGCCGCGGGAATGAAAACACAAAACACCACGCCTAGTCATCATGAGTTTCCTTCGCGCAGCAGTGAAAGCTTCGCGGCTCCGGTCATGACAACGCGGGGACGGACGGGAAGAAGCGGGACGGCGACGACGACGCTGGGATTGGGACGGCAGGCCTTTTCAGACCACGGCGACCAAGCACCGGTCATCACAGGCTGGGACCGATGCAGCGGAACAGACTCAGCCGGAACACGCCATTCCGACGTACTGCCCCATGTCCGCGCTCGTCAGTTCCGAGGCAGCGCCCGGCGGAGGTCAGATGGATCTCAATCGGCAATCTGGTGTGGCAGATTGAAGCTTGGGGAACGGCGGCGGAACAGCTTGTGAGGCTCTTTTAGTGTCAAGTCCGGGCCACACAGGTGACGGCGACAGTGAGCGGCAGTGGTGTCGAGCATCCAGCAAGCCACGAAAGACGCACCCCTCCACGTTCGTATTCGGGTTGAGAGGACGGGTACGTACCGCAAGCTAAGCTGATGGTTCACCTAACCCAACGCCAATGGGAAGCACGGCGCGATCTGAGGAACAGGAAGCGCATCATCCACGCAGACTGGGAGAGGCGTAGCAACGAATTGTCGAGGTGCGAGGCCACCACGCAGGAATCAGGAGCACCCCATGCACGCCGATAAGATAGGGCTATCCCAACATCGGTCTCCTTCGAGTGCCCGCGACGGGGCGCAGGGGATCAGATCCCCCATTCAGTCACAATGGCGTTTCCCTCCTGGTCCTCCCGTCCCCTTTTCTGTTTGTGTCGCCGTCTGTCGCAATCACTTGATGGCCCGTATCCGCATCTGACTGAAGCCCCCCAATTGAGTGCTGACTGACACCCCCGACAAGCCATCCAAGCTCCTTTAGCATTAGCTTCGTTAGACAGCAACGTTCGTCTAGAAACATGCTTGACACAGAACAAAAAGGAGCTCTGTCCCATGTTCCATGCCCCGTGCGCGCCTCGGCGTCTGCGGTGGCCGCTGTACCTTTAGCACTCTCTCAGCGTGTCAATGGCCCTCCACCCCACTGATTAGCACACCTCTCGCCTCCCGTGGCCCTCACAC